TTCTCCTACAATAACCAAAACCTGTCAAGAAGTGTTATCTCTTTTTATGTCTTGTGTTCAAGAGCAATGTCATGAAAAAAAACCCAGAAATTAGCAGAGGATGGTTTCGATCCATCGACCTCTGGGTTATGGGCCCAGCACGCTTCCGCTGCGCCACTCTGCTAATCACTCACCCCAGATGGGACTCGAACCCACAATCTCTGGCTTAGGAGGCCAGTGCCTTATCCATTAGGCCACTGGGGCACATACAGCCCCCCATACATTTATCATCTCTGGTACAGTATTTTATTTCATAAGTAAAATAAGGGTCTGCATCGGCCAGATGAAAATCCCTGAATTATTGTCTATCAACTTGTTATCAAAAATACAGTCACTGTATGGTCAGATGAAATCCTTTACTCGGTCTGCATCAGTCACATCACATAATAAGCCCTGAATTATTGTCTATTAACTTGTCTATCACTGAAAATCAGGCCTTGTTATGTACAGTTTTAAAGACCAGGCAGTGGTGGCAGGTTTACAGCTAATTTATATATGATTAAACCATCTGTAAATGATAATCATCTATAGACTGTTAACAACCTGTCAGGTGACTGACATCAACCATCCTATCAAGTAATATATTATTTACTATTCTTGCATTCTAGTATTTAAAAAGCATCTAAAAAATTCCAGTTGGAGACCACAGTTACCTTTTACTGCTGAACCATTAGTGATTAGTCCATGGCTATAAAAAAAACGTATGAAGTGGTTATGTTTTGTTTCACTTCAGACTATTATGTTTTAGCAAAGAGGGTAAATAAAATGAAAAATCTATGAAGGTGTGTGTGAAATTCTCCCTTGTCTGATCTAATGACTGTAGCTCTGGAGTTAGTCTCTTGTCAGATGAGCTGCCTTCAGCTAATACATTTACAATAAGATACATAAATACACTTTATTGGCTCTGAGGGGAAATTTGGGAATAAAGCTGGACAGAATTAGCTGAGGATTTCAATCCATTGACCTCTGTGTAGTGGACCCAGCACACTTCAGTCAGTGTTGGGAGGTTCAGACTAGACTTTCTTGTCATTGGGCAGAGTATGAGCACCAAGGCAATGAAATACAGGGTCAGCCCTTGCAGCTGCAGCTTGACAGCAGTAGGGCTTGAACCCCAGACCTTCCACTCAGTAACCCAGAGCCTTACTCATTCAGCCTATCATCCTATATCCAGTTGGAGACCACAGTCACCTTTTAATGGTGAACCCTTAGTGATTAGTTCGTGGCTATAAATAAAACAGTGCAAAGTGATCACGTTTTGTTTCACTTCACATTACTACTTTTTACCAGAAAGGGTATATAAAATGAAAAATCTATGAAGGTGGGTGCAAATTGTCCCTTATCTGATCTAATGACTGTAGCCCTGTAGCTAGTATCTTGTCTGATCAGCTACCTTCAGCTGATAATTTTACAGTAAGATAGAAAAATGCATCATATTGTTCCTGAGGGCAGACTTGGGAACAAAGCTGACAGGGAGTAGCAGAGGATGGTTTCGATCCATCGACCTCTGGGTCATGGGCCCAGCACGCTCCCGCTGCGCCACTCTGCTAACCACACCCACTCCCAAAACTCAAACCTGCAATCCCTGGCTTAGGCGGCCAGTGCCTTATCCATTAGGCCACTTCCAAAATGGACAGTAGCTGTTAGCTGTTAAGTTAAACACGGCAAAATCGGACTTTAACTTCAAAATGTCTTCATTTCAATCATAAATTGCTAACAAAACATTTTACCTCCCCTTAAGAATGTGGTCTTTTATTTGGTAGCATTTAAACTGCCAGTAAAACCCAGTACTATAGATTTTACACTGAAAAGTGCAGCTTTGTACTGAATATATACAATTCAGAGCACTTATTGTTTAAGTGTTATCTCTTTTTATGTCTTGTGTTTAAAAGCAATGTCATTAAAATGTCATTGTAAGTCGCTCTGGATAAGGGCGTCTGCCAAATGCCATAAATGTAAATGTAAATGTAAATTAAAAATGTAACAAAACCATGAAATCAACTGTATTATTTCCAATTTTTACTTACCAGCATTTTTGTTACCAAAACAGCTCTGAGTTGTGACCCTTAAATATGAGACACTAAGATACTGTTATAAGATAATGATAAGATATCCCACACTAGTGACAGATCACTGAAAATCAGGCCTCGTTATATACATTTTTAGAGGTTTTTAGAGGTTTACGGCTAGGTTATAAATAATAAAACCATCTATAAATGATAACCATCTATAGACTGTTAACAACCTGTCACGTAACCTTCATCAATTATATCAAATCATCTATTATTTATTATTCTAGTATTCTAGGATTAAACTAGAATTTCTAGTAGACATTTAAAAATGTCCAGTTGGAGACCACAGTTACCTTTTAATTCTGAAGCATTAGTGATTAGTCCATGGCTATAAAATAAGGCAGTTCAAAAATTCTCCCTTGTCTGATCTAATGGCTGTAGCTCTGTAGCTAGTCTTTTGTCTGATGAGCTGCCTTCAGCTAACAAATTCACAGTAAGAGAGATAGATGTACTTTATTGTTGTTGAGGGGAAATTTGGGAAAAAAGCAGACCAGAGTTAGCAGAGGATGGTTTTGATCCATTGAGTGCTTCACACCTCTGCTAACCACTCATAGGACTCAATTCAACACGACTGGCTCAGGAGGCTAGTGCCTTATCTATTAGGCCACTGGGGAACTGATGTGGGTGATGGGGCTGATGTAGGTGATTGTTTACTTAGTGTGAGTGTTAAGGATGTGTAGCTGCCATTCCTGACAGAGTTGTGTAGCTGCCAGAGTGCATGGGCATTGCAATGCTGGTGTCAGTGGATCTGTTAGAGGGGTAAGCAAACTGGAATGGATCCAAGGTGTCTGGTAGAGAGGAGCAGATGTAAGATTTGACGAAACACTCAAAGCACTTCATGATCACTGATGTAAGTGCTACAGGGCAGTAGTCATTCAGGCAGGAGACAGCAGTTTTCTTGGGGACAGGGATGATGGTGGTCTGCTTGAAGCATGTGGGGATCACAGTCAAGCTCAAAGAGAGATTAAAGATGTTATTGAAAACATCTGCTAACTGGTCACCGCAGGCCCTCAGGACACGTCCGTGGAGGCCATCAGGTCCTGGTACCTTCCGAGTGTTGACTCTCTTAAAGGCCCTGCTCACTT